TAGATCCAAACAACAGAGCCAGTGGTAAGTTTATACCTTGGCGTCTTTATCCAGTGCAAGTGCACCGAGAGCTCTGCGTTCAGGAGAGCAGGTATGACGTTTCACGGTGGGCTGCATAAAGAATTCATCATGATCGTCACTTGTTGAGCCAAGCTGTTGTCCCCACCTGCTTCAAGAGCACCACCATTGTCCCTGTTCCAAAGAAGGCATCTCCATCGTGCTTCAACGACTACCACCCTGTGGCACTGACCCCCATCATTATGAAGTGCTTCGAGCAGTTAGCAATGCAGCACATCAAATCCATCCTCCCTCCCTCCCTGGACCCCTACCAGTTTGCATATCGGGCCAACCGGTCCACCAATGATGCAATCTCCACCGCCCTCTACTCAGCTCTCACTCACCTGGACACTAAGGACTCTTACGTAAGCTGCTGTTCATAGACTTTAGTTCAGCTTTCAACACTATCATCTCCCAGCAGCTGATACAGAAAATGGACTGTGTAGGACTGAACACCTCACTCTGTAACTGGTTTCTGGACTTCCTGACCGGAAGACCACAGGCAGTCCGGGTCGGTAGCAACGCATCCAGCACCATCACACTGAACACAGGGGCCCCCCAAGGATGCGTGCTCAGCCCCTTACTCTTCACCCTGCTGACCCACGACTGCACACCAACACACAACAGCAACCTATTCATCAAGTTTGCGGACAACACTACTGTGGTGGGACTCATCAACAACAACGATGAGTCAAACTAAAGGGACGAGGTGAGCCAACTGGCCACGTGGTGCAGAGGCAACAATCTCTCTCTTAATGTGGAGAAGACGAAGGAGATTGTTGTCGACTTCACCCAGCACCCTCCACTGACCATCAGCGGTGCTGCTGTGGAGAGAGTGAGCAGCACCAAGTTCCTGGGTGTGCACATCAGTGAGGACCTCTCCTGGAGCAGCAACACCACATCACTGGCCAGAAAAGCTCAGCAGCCCCCCCCCCCCTTCCTTCTCTGCCCTCTGCCCCCACAAACACTGGACACTGACACTTGACTTGACTTGACTTGAAACACTGCGCCTCGGCATCACAGTTGCAGAAAAGTAGTTCCTCGGTTGGATGACTCAGTGGGTAAATGTTTCCATAATGACGGGATTATTGTGCAGTGGCAGAGTAAATTACACGGTGACATGCCACAGCCCAGACACGACAGTGTGCATGTGAAATGTATACAGCACTGATCCTCTCCTCCCTTGCTATGCAGTTGCAGGTACAGATGGCGCGGGTGTAAATGCCAGGACCTGGAGTAGTGTTGTCAAACAAAGCATGAGGCAAGAAGCTGCCCCTCAGGAGAATGCCAGACCTCACACCTTTCAGCAGATAGATCCAAACAACAGAGCCAGAGGTAAGTTTATACCTTGGCGTCTTTATCCAGTGCAAGTGCACCGAGAGCTCTGCGTTCAGGAGAGCAGGTATGTCGTTTCATGGTGGGCCGCATAAAGAATTCATCATGATCGCCACTTGTCGAGCATATATTTATTTTGCAATGCTTGCTAAGCTGAAGCGCAGGCTGTGCATGTCGCATTTTGAAACATGAATATATTTCTGTCAAATCAATTATGATATCATGGAACCAGATGGAAACGAGGCTGCACTTGACTGGTGGTCTGCCTCACTGTCGCTGTCTGTGACGTCAATTAATTTGTCCCTTTTATTCAGATCAACACTGACACATTTCTGGCAAAGTCAGGGGACTGATAATGATAGAAATCAAAAAGTGACATTTTAACAATATAGAAAATTGATTGATGCAGATTTAAACCAGAGATCCAACATACATATAAATATGAGGAAATGGTGTAGTTACTTTTATTAAATCCCTCTGTTTTCTGTTTAGAACAATTGATTTCTAACTCAAGCAGACCCACATTCTTATTCATGACTAAATATATTTTGCTTTCAGACTTGTCACTTCTCTAATTTGGCTCGACGTACTTCTCAGAGATTGTAAATGTGGACAATCACTCTGTCAAATTGTGCTTTCAGGTTTGCCAGGTCAAATTTGCATGTCTGTATGTGCTGACACCTGAACTGAATTGCCTCCTGCATGGGAGAGGTTTAGACTTTTGTAGTAATATCTTAGCCACTGTGAGAACAAAGTGTTTTTGGAAAATAAAACATCCCCACGAAACTCTCACTGAATTCATGCAAATTCCTCAGAGTGAAAATTAGAAAGCTACTGATGCTGCTGAATGTAAAGTGTACATGACTGTGCATAATCAAAGTAAAAACTCTATTTTAAATTCTTATGCTTGTACTTAAAATATCAGCATTGCAAGCAGACTAGTAGCAACTGTAAAAATTGTATCAAGACAGCAGGTGGAGTGTTCAGATTATTTTACACAACCATTAAAACATAACAGCTCACTTTATTTCATTTTCTCCATTGTCGTTTCAAAAAATCTTTATAAAAACAGTCTTAAGCCTGGAACCAGGCCGGCCAGCCACAAGATGATTCGTGACCGTAAAACATTTGAGAAAAAGTGGAAAATGGAAAAATAAATGCAAAAGTACAAAACTGTGCATAATATTTTGAAGAGTGAAGGAGCTACACATCCCATAAACCATTGCAAATTATCCTTTTCCAACTTTTAAGGCTTCTTCTTGAATTTAACTTTTCACCCATTTCTTTTCCTCATCTCTAAAAAAAACCCACAGGAAATCATGTTCTGAGGTAAACGTATTGTAACGCTCGATGTTCCGATTGCAGCCGACATGATTTTTGCTTTTTGTGGTAACCATTCAGATGCTCTGCTTTAACACCTGAAGATTGTGGGTAGTGGAAAATTTCTCCTTGACATTGCGAAATAAAACATGTTGCTTTTAAAATGCAGTTTATATCATACGTACTTGTGGCTTCTAAAGGACCATATAACATTGTTTTACAACCTTGTAGCTTATGGTTACAATATTATGACTGTTAATGAAAATCTCTGCAACCACACAGTTGAGCTCTATTCCTTTTTTCCCTTTAATCCTTGACTTCTTTTTCTCTTTTTACAGCCAGGTTTTGTGGTCCTACAATCCCAGTTAGGCCTGCCCACGCTCAGGTAATTACTAATATACTAATATAATATATTATACAGATGTAACTGATACACACTTTTCTCTGTGGGCTGATGTGTGCAGTGTCACGTTGCAATTTACTCATGAATAGTTATAATGGCTAAATATCCAATGGTTTACTGGTTATATGCATTTTTAAAAGTGCTCCAGAGTTCAGATGTTAAAGTAATAGTTCACCCAAAAATAAAAATTTACTCATTATCTACTCACCACTATGCGATGGAGGGGTGGGTAAAATGATTGAGCCCACAAGACAAGTTTGGAGTTTCAGGGGTAAACAGCATTGCAGCAAAATCTAATACAATTGAAGTAACTGGGGATCACTTCTTCAAATGGAAAAAAACTACAGAAAAAAAAACATAAAATGCCTCAATACTGCTCCTGTGATACTCGCAGTTACTGCAGCAGTAATAAAAAAAATAGACTTTATATTCACAATATAGTTACCTTGTCCATTTTATGCCTCTTCTGTGCCATTACCTCCACTGCTGTGAATTAATTAGTTTAATATTTTGTCTTAGTTTGTCTATGTGAACAATATGTATGTCTAAAAAAGAAAACAGCTTTAAATCCAATGATATGAGTGTCCCAGAGGCCTGTCCTCAATCAAACCTGTGAAAATAGCCTCTCTGTGCCTGCCTCATGGCAAACGGTTTGTGTCACACTGTAAAAATACCCATCCAGCTTCACAAGGTGATATAAAATGCGTATGAGTAAGGAGCTTAAACAATCTGACCCACTACTACACACATTGCTGCAGTTAAGATATGACGTTCCACTTCAATCCAGTATAACACCAAACCTGAAGCACTTATTAGGATTTAGCTTTTTTCATGACTTTTTTTTTTTACTTTGACCCATGATGGGAAAGTTGTTTCCACCATACTTTAAGCTAAGCTAACAGACACTTTGCTCTTGATAAATGTGGATCGTACAGACAGCAGAGTGGTGCTGACCTCCTTATCCAACTGGCAGCAAGACGGTTGATGTATTATATCGAGGTCTACCTTATGGGATCAATTACTGACCAGGAAAAGCCTTCAACATGAGTTTCCGAACAGAACGTGAGGAAGAGTGCATATTGCAGTTTGGAGTATTTTGAAATTCTGCTCCGTCTCTCGTTTCCCAGCATCACATCTGTGAACACAGAGCGGACATGCTAAGTAGGAGGTGCTTTGGAGGTTTATCCCTGACAGTGTTTTCTGCACAAATAGTTCTAATCAGATCACAAGTATGAGGAGGTATTAACAACCGTCTGTTCAGTGTCATTTCCTGTTGTTGTTTAAGCTCCATCTTGGTCTCGATTCTGTTGAGAGTTTGCGGAAAGGCTCCCAAGAATGTTCTTTTTTTCTACATAGTTACACATCCCATCTTCTTCCTCTCCCTCCATCCCTCCCCACCCTACCCTGCCTGCCTATGACCTACATGTATTTAAATTTGGGTGGCATTTCCTTTTACCATATGCTGCAGTGACAGTGAGGCCCGCTGCACTCTGAGGCACGTCCCTTTGGCCTCGGCACTTCCAATCCAACAGGATAATTACTGAAGCTGCAATGCACATTCCCCCTGGGTGAGAGTGGCAATGTGGGGGTCTCTCAGTGTCAGCTGAGAAATGTGATGCAAGGAGAGAGAGAGAGAGAGAGAAAGAGAGGGAGAGGGAGAGAGGGAGAGAGAGGGAGGCTGTAAAATATGTGACGTGATGGAAAGAAACATTATAATAGATTTACTTTTAGCAAAAAACTGCTGATGCAGAGATGCAAGTACATGTTTATAGAGTGTGAAAATGTTATGATGAATTATTTTAGACAATGAAATTGTTCTCTCTCTGTCTTTGTTTCTCTCTCTCACACACACACACACACACACACACACACACACACACACACTTACTTACTTACTTACAAGCCAGCTCTGACAAACACACCCCTACCTGTTCTTGCTCCATAACCATAATATTATGAATTCAAAGGTTTGACAGAAAACCCCAAAAGCAGTTTTTTATAAAAAGAAAATCAATCTTAAGTGTATAAATGAGGATGTGCAGTGAATAAAACTACAAACACTGAGGCCACTCAAGCACGATCCAGGTCTTACACGTGTCTGAATCTGAGTGTCTCAGCCAGCCAAACAATTATTCAGCATTGACTCAAATCTCTGCTGCCCCAGTACTCATATCCACAACATTACATCCTCCCTTTAAGAGAGAGCAATTAAGTTTAGCTCTTTCATAGTGTTGGAGAGTTGGCATAGCTTAGGTGCCATGGCATCCAAACTATAAAAAAAAAAAAAAAAAATAGAGCAAGAAATTGACAATTAAGAATGCCTGCCCCCCCCTTTGGCAGACGGAGAAAAAGAAGTGAGCAGCCAAATGGTTTGGTTGTGCAGCCTGATCGATGGGCTGCTCCGATAGTGAGATGGTCAGACACGAGGCCCGTTTGGAGGGTACGTGAGAGAGAAGGGGTTTTGCGGGACTGAGGCTTGTGCGTTTGAGCCTGTGCCCTCTTCGGTTTGTGTAAGTGCGCGAGTGGCAGAGACACGTGCTAAAGTTTTTCCCCCTCTCGCGTTCCTCGCTCTTTATCCAGCTAATAAGCCTGTCTCCGAGCTGTTGCTAGGCTACACTGGTCTGTTGTTATTCTCTGGCAGGTGCCCTTTCTCTTTCTTCAATTCTACAAGTGTGTGTTTGTGGATAAATTCAAGAGTGTTTATTTGATGTCAAAACAGAGAAATGCAAGAAGGTGACAGGAAGCTGAAACTAAGATCAGGAAATGGAGATTTCAGGAGAGTTTGACACATCGATAACATTACTTGTGCCTCTTCACCACAAACTCTTACATTTTTTCTATCAGACCACTAAAAGGATTATTTTCTCTTGTGTGCATTGGTGTTATAATTAACCCATTCATGCTGGGGATGCATCCGTATATGTGTTGCCCTGAGTCTTTTGATAGCAGCATGTCCATTTGATCGTGGATGTTATTGATTCTGCTTATGTGAACTAATTTGGCAGAGGCAATCTTTATAGTAAAAAGGCAGAAAAATCTTGTAACTAGGCAACAAAATAAGGCTTTACACGTCATGATAGGTGCTGTAAAGGGAAATACTTCAGAAGCCCCCCAAAGAATATGATTGACTGTCCCTCCAGTAGCTGTTTTCATGGGGGTGGAAATCGAACCTCGAGCACAGCAGGGCTAATAGTCTCCAAGAGGTAGAGAGAGGTCTTCAAAGATTGGTTTTGAGGTGGGCATGTGAGCCACATACTTGGTTATATGTTCAATCAATGTGTTTGTTCATAATCAGGAAATCTGTTCTCTGCCTCTTGCTTCTCCAGCCCCTGCATGTTAACCCCTTTAGTCCCCCGGTGAAGATTCCTTGGACCTTCCTGAGCTTCATACATATAAAATATTAATGGAGAGAAAAAAGAAAAAAAAAAACTGAAAAAGGTAAAACAGTTAATGACGGAACAAGAAGAATTTCCACTTCAAGTGACCAGAGTGCTTAGTGGTGACTCAAGGAATACTGCCGTGAGTTTCAGACCCTAAGCCTAACCCCCCCCATGCTAACGTCATGGCATTTTCGAACCCTCTAAAATGCAGGATGGTGCTAAGAGTACGTGCCTGGCATCACCATATGTTTTACTCTGTAAGACAAATGCAACTGGCAAAGCATTGTCATTAGAATTATTATTACTAAATCACACTACTTTGATTTGTAAAGAATTACCTGTTTGAGGGAATCTTTAACTGGATCTCTGCTCTAATTAGCTAATTTTGCTTATCACTATTGTGGAATTATGAATTCATGAAAAATGACAATAATTTAGATCTCTCTATCTCTCTATCTATAGATATAGATAGATATATATGATACAAATGCATAATAAGCCTTTATTTGATAAGAATGATTAAACGTTATACTTATTTTTCTTAATATAATGATGTGTTGATACAGCTCTGTAAAAACAGTAAGTCATTGACTACTGTTGCTGCTGTGCTCATGGTTTATGAATAGTTGTCAGAACAGCATACAAGTGTGTTGTTCTGGTGAAAACAAAGGCAAACTGCATTTTTAATGAGTCCAAAGGAAACTAAGTCCCCCCACTGAAATCTCAATTTTATGTGTTTGTTTTTTTTAAATAAACAAAGTCCTGGGAATCCTTAATACAGACGAATGAACATGATGAGTACCTGATTCTTATGGTTCTTTGTGAACTAAATATATTTATATACACAGTGGTAATATATAAAAATAGTGATAGTTAATTTGACTTGGACCACATCTTACATAAAATAGTGTCACTGAGATGGAAGGATCCAACCCCATCGACAGGTCATCAAATTATATTTTCAACTACACTGAGTGAAGGTTTTTGTTTGCATGTTAATTATTGACAGAAAGGGTTTAACGATAGACTATAAGAAAATACTATATTAAACAGGAATTTTAATTATTCTCTCTTTTTGTGTTAGAAAATGTAAGCTAAAATAATACTTGCCCTGGCTGACTGTTGAATGTTGCATCAGTTGAATGGAACCGAATTACAGTGATTACTCAGCTGGTTTCCTGTGTGTGGCTGCTGAAATTAAACAGATCTAACAAACTATTTCAAAGCTAGAGAGTTTTCCACAAACAAAGTACCTGATTAACCTGATTTTGAGAAAATCGTGAATTAATGGTACATTCCCCAATTGTTATGCAAATGTTACAAGTTGGTTTATTGGGAAAAACAGCTGGTGGCGCCAATTTTCCAGCCAGATACCATTAAAACACTGAAGAAGGAGATAATGGAATGAAAAGAGCTCTAGTTACATTGCAAACAGTGAAAAACAATAGAGACAAATGTGACACTCTTCTCATTGCTCCACACAAATGTTCCTCAGGGGACATTTAAGTCTCATGTCTCATGTACTGTATGTCATGATATATTCTCTATATTGTCTGAACCAGGTTGGGTACCTGCGGGTACTCAAAATGATTGTGTAGTATTTTTAATGTCTAAATCAGCTGAAATTAAACCTAGTCAGAAAGTTTTATTGTAAAAACCTACAACACCACCTTTGACCCTATCACACACCGCTGAGATAACTGGCACTATGGACATTGAACTAGCAAGTACAGTACAATGGATCACAGGACAAAAGTAGGTTCAGGTTTGGGCGGGTCCGAATTTTAATTGTGAGTAGGGGGCCAATTCTGGCACGGACTTTTGCAGGTGTCAGTGGGTGTAAAAAATTGGACCCTTCCCAGGACTGACTGTCGGTTTTTGAAACGCAAGACGGCTCTCGTAAGGAACTGGCTTGGCACTGGTACAAAAAGAAGTGCTAGAGAACACATATGTAAAAGATTTCTGCATGGAAAAAAAAAACCACTTAGAGATTAGCAGTACTTAATAGATAGTTGTCATAGATACTGATTTATCAGCAAAAATACATTCACTTCAACTCTAACATGGTTCCATAGAAGACATAGCACCTTTGAATACAGACTGTTCAGCTATAAAGCAGTATGCCCACACTCTCCTGACAACTTTATAGGACTTTTCCGCACCATTGGCAGTTCTGTGATATTGCAGTGAAGGTGTTTTGTTACCTTTTCCAATGGAAACCCTCCAAAGCAATTTGTCCTGATTGTTTTCCTGAAAATATTGCTGCATCTTTGAACTTCACTTCCATTGTATTTCCTGAAATATTACACACAGACAGTTCACTGAACTCATCTCTTTACATATTCATTTGGTTTGCCAAGGCAATGCTGCCCAACCTGGTGAGACTGTTTATCCACGAAGAAATACCTCAGACCTGCTGCCCATTGACACTTTCTTGGCTTTCAGACTAGTTAAACATTGATTCCTCCTTTCACATCCTCAGGCATATTCTTAATCTGTCTTTTCTCCCCCTCCACCTTTCTTTCTCTCACTCTCCACCCTTTAATCACTTATTTAATCTCCTTCTCCTCCTACAGCGCCACGGAGCCCCGGCACACCGAGCCAACTCTCCTCCAGGATTCAGATATCGTTTTCCTTTCAAACAGGTGAGGCTGCTAACAATCTCATTTCCTCCATGTCCCTGAAGTTTGGAGCCAGTTCTAATCTGCGTCCCTGAATTTATGTCCAACTGTAATTTACGTGGGAGTCTGTGTCGGCACGCCGCAGCTGCGACTCAGCTCTCCATTGATTCTCACTTTATTTCATGAAACTGCCACCTTGTTACATATAAAGGCGCAGACATCGTACAATAAATCTTCCTCAAGAGGGATTAAACATTCTTCTGCAAGGATGATGGTAAATATAAGTCACATTAGACAACACATGGATATGTGCATGTATGCTCAAGTGTTGTTTATGCCTCTATGCAAAGGAGTGCATGTGTGTGCAGACTAGCTCAATGCTCTGTAATTGAATATAGGGAAAAAGGGTTTTATTTGTCCGGGTGTCACTCCTGATGGATGCTCCTCATAAGACGAGCACAATCAGGCATCATTCCTCATCTTTCCTCCCACTCCTCATCCTTCTTCTCCATCATATTTTATTCCCTTGAGCCCAACACTTGCTCCCCCCCTTCTCTTTGTTGGCACTGGTAGCTCATGGTGTCACAGTGAATTTCATGCTGCCACATGTTGTGTCTGCTGAGTCCTAATTGAGGAGGAGGCAGGCTGTCTTTAATGATTCGTATGGCCATCATAAGGCGATGCAAAATGGCAGAGCTATAGAAACGACAGCTTTTCCCCGCGCTCTGCCATCATATATACATAATTTACCACTTTAATGACAATGTATTCTGCATGGGGAGGATGAGCGAGGAGGTTTTTTAAGGCCACATTACTATTTCATCAGTTTTCAGTGGTTTGGATACAGTTGGTGAATTATTTTTTCCTCCATACTTTGCATGTCATGTTTTGGATGTGAGCCAGTGTGGGTGCTGCCACAAGCTCTCCAGATCTCTCACATTGTGTGCACAGCTTCACAAGTTGTTAAAGTTATATTCGTTCCAATGGAGGGGGAATGTGGAACAGTACCAGGCTACTGCTCCCTGTGGCTATTGTTGGAACCTCTCACTAATCGGGAAAACTAATTTCTAACTGCAAATACATTTTGAAGGAAAAAGTTAATGTTACCAGATAACATTTTCTATCAAACTAATGAAAATAGGTTGTGAATTTATTTAAGTCACATTATCAGTAAAACCTTCATATACAAGGTATTATTTTACCAAAGTATCCCATCTTGAAGTACAATAACCACTGATCTTGACTCCAGCATTAAGCTTCTTCACAGTTATAATTAGGAATTTGAAGCTTCCGGTTAAGGCTAGGAAAATATGGGGGTCTGGTTTGAAACAGAAAAAGTTCACAAATAGGGTGATGGGGCCCCACTTGTTAAATGACCTAAAACAAATGTCTCCATTAGACCATGATCAAAATGAACAAATGCATATTTTTTCTTAATTAGGTGTGCAAAAAATAAAAATAAAAACAAGCGGAAACATATATTCATACTGTTGATTGACATCCACAGCCAGGAGCATCATCATGCCTGAAGCTAAATTAGGAGGTGGCCAGGATCATAGACTAAGGTGCTTATCACTAGTCTGTAACATTTAATATTTATAGATTCAACAGTTTTTTTCTGGCTTGTTAGTTGTGACAGAGGAGGTGAAAAAATTATCACAGCCATCACCGACTTTACCACAGTTTCTCATGCTGTTAAATTGCCAGCTTATCAGCTTGCAACAGGACAAAGATGACACTCTCATTAATGTGGCTGAGCACCAATACTGAGTGCATATCTTTGAGTCGGTTTATTTTCTGCGGAGCGCCGTGTGTATGTGGGTTCGGCGGCCTCCGCCTTCAAAGCCACCGCACGACAATGGTTCTTTAAATGATGACTCCTCTCAGAAAAGTGTGACCTAGCTATAGTCATCTGTATTCATCACATGTAATTACTGATCCACAGTGGGCTGTGCTGTCTGTGTGTGCGACAGTGTCTGTAAGTGTCTGCTTGTGATTCATCATACATCTGAAAGGTGGGAAGAAAGAAGTTAGAAGGAACTCAAACGCTGGCCTCATTCACCTTGTGTGGTGAGCAGCCGTTGCCGGAGGGGCTCGTCTCTCAGTTAGCTTCAAACAGACAGTCAAATAGCTGTTCAAAGGACACGCGCGTCTCACGCTGCCTTCTTTTTTCTTCTCCTCTCTTGTATAGTCGGCCAGAAATAAGCCTTGTTGTGGCGAAATGAGTAAAGATTTGACTGAGTCGATGAAACCCACGATTAATATTTAACAAAGCTATTTAAACTTGCATGGCACCATTGCTTTGTTGAATCAGAAGTGAGGGAAAATGAACAACACGGAAATAAATGAATGGGGGAAAATGAGAAAGGAAAAGAGCCTGATCCTCAAGGAGAGGCTTTCAGTTTTCTGGCTACGGCGGTTGGAGTTTTTGGCCTTTAAGACACTCAGGCACACTCGAAATAATGATGATACATGTTCATTTTCCATATTTAGTGCCTTTGTATGGGGATACACGAGTTCTCTGTGGGTCATGTAGTCCCTTTAATGTCATCACTTAGTTGATGAGAGGGTGACGGTTCATCCCCCTCATGTCTTGACATACTAAATGAGAAAACATGCTCCCCATGGTGCATGGAGGCGCACGGAGCAGAGCGAAACCTAGCGGAACCCTCCACCCACCGTTTTTGTACAAGAGGAGGAGATGAAGGCGCAGGAAGAGAGCGTGATGGGGTACGTGAGAGGAAAAAAAGGCAGAGGAGAGGAGGAAGAGAAGGGGGTGGGATGCTTCATATTTAATTCCAAAGTGTTCAGTGTGTTTATCTGATGCTCTGATTTAGGTTATCTTAAGCAGAGTGGAACTGCAGTCTGAATCTTTAAAAAGTTGGCACCAAAGATTCTATTATCAAACTTTTCATTTGATTCCTTCCTCATTTTCTTCATATCTCGCCTTCATTGATAATCAGATGGAACCTAAAGGCCACAGATGAGACCAGATCTAGAAATGTGGAGGTCCCAGATCTTTATACTGCAGGATAGCATACCAATGTCTGTTAATTGTAAATTTGGTGACATTTGTGAGCAAAGTACTTTTTTCTCATCTCCTAGGATCTGATCTGGTTGCAAATGACACGTTATCATTTAATTTAGAACTGGGCTAATACACTGAATCATCAGAACTGAATCCTTAAAGCTGCAGCCGGTAGTATTTCGAACACAGAGGAGACGTAAAGTGTGTTGAGTGACTTTGTTTTTCCAAATGGACCAAGATGGCTTCATTCACCTCAAACCATTTGTCCTTTCTGGACAGAATATGTACAAATATCTACAAACGACCTCAAATACTTGCATATGTATACTTATACAACTCCTGAAGATACCATGAATGAGAGAGAATCTTTACAGGAACGTGAGAATTTTAACGAATAAAATGTCCAGAATTCTCCCTCGCTTTTCACTGAGCTCCAAATCCGCCTCCATAGTCCCTCCCTGCTCTGCCGAACATACGCCAGTAACACTTATAATTGAAAACAAGCTAATATTTCTAACTACATTTAGTATCTACAGGGGCTAAACACATGGGGGACACAATAACTATGAATATCAAGTGTGACTGGTCAAATCCAGCTAGTTGTGTTCTCTCCGACAGGTTTCTGATGCCAGTGAAGACTGTTGACAGTGACAACAATGTTAAAGAAATCAGTGGCAACACACACAGCATTTTAACACAGTGGATGAGGCAAAGCAGGTTCAGCAAGTGCACGGAGCAGTCTCCTGTATTTAATAATGAGACAAAGTGGACTGTCCCACCGTCATTGGGCCATGAATGAAACAATGTAAACATGTTTACTGTAGGGGAATATGATTAAAGCAGGACACAGCTTGATAATAAACAGTCCGTCTGGGGTTGCGGTAGCGTGATCAATCTGAGGCTATAAATAAATCCATAAATCAAAACCTGTGCTGTAGCCTTCAGCAGCGGAGCTCGAGTTAACCCCTCGTTTCAAGTAGGAGCCCCAGATTGTGTCTACTTTAAAATTTCGTTCAAACTAATGAATTTTTTACATTTGAAAAAGCGAACTAAAAATGAAGCTGTTGTTCCTTGGAGTTGACAGAAACACACCACCTGATCACGTGTGGTGGTATGTAATTCCATTCCCCCATTCCCCTGTGAAGACCATATATAAACTGTACATAACAAATATATAAAAGACTGAATATAAAGATGGAGGGCATGACAGCCCCCAAAAAGTGAAGCCAAAGTATATCTATCCCCACCTGGAGGGTACCTGCAGTATTGGTCATTAATCTGGCCTCCTCCAGGTTAGTGGCCAGGACATGACCAAACTGAATAATCTAAGTACACGTCAGATATATGTTTCTCTAAGATGGTTTTACATACGTTGTCATCACACTAATGTAAAGTACGTTCAAGTGTTACTTTAAGGTACGTCCGGTTTTACTTTTACGTAGTTATTTGATTAGTTATGTCATGATTGACAGATGAAACTAGGGACCACAGCATATATTCATCCCTCCATCGTCATAATACGCAGAATCCGGCTTCAGATAGGCAACATGGCAGTGTTAGTATCCGGGATATTTTGGCTTGATTTCTGGATAGTGGGAAGAAGTGGAGACGTGTTGACCCTCTCCGTATTTAGTGTAGCGATATCAGCATATTCAGATTTTTTTATGCATCTTTAAAAACCTAAAATGGGCATAAAAAATATTGGCAAAGTTAGACTGGACAACCTGTATAAGTGGCAGTTGCTGCTTTGGTAGACTGATGCTCATACACACTTTTGCTCATGCATTCTTTACATTAGCAAATGTGAAAGACTTTCATGATCCAAGCCATAAGTTAATCACTTAAAGTACCAATCAATCGTCGAAAAGGAAGCACAAGTTAGATTAGTGCTTATAGATGAAGGAAAGAGAAAGAAGAGGCCAGGAGGCACAATGTCCAATTCATTGTGTTTTGATCGAACATTAGTTTAGAAGCAGCGTTATTTGCAGCAGACGGA